TTGTCTGATTCAAAATGGCCCAAACCAGTGCATTTCAGCTCACTAATGCCAAGGATATCAATCTTTATGCATTCCATTTCATTTTTGACAACTTCCAATTTTCCCAATTCATACTTTGTACATCCCATGTTCCAATGATTAGTGGATGTCTGCAGCTGTTTCTCTTCAATTTGAGTGGTGACACATCAGCAAATGGAGGTCTCAAAATAGGAGTAAGGTTGGGTTTACTCACATGATGCAGCTCTTCCCCTGTGCTATTTTGAGAGCCTTCTAACCTAACCAGACTATTCATAAAGTTGCGCAGTAATGTATCAAACAGTGTTTCTTTGCTATCCATAAGGTTTCCCTGGCCAATTATTTGAGAAGTGGATGGCCTCTTGCTAATCTGTCTCAGTCTGTAAACTGGGCTGATACCTGTGCACCATGTGCATCCCGCTGGTTTTTAAACACCAGTGGCTCAGCCTCAAAACTCACATCAACACATCACCACAGTAGAACAAACCAACAGACAAGTTTGTCTCCCTGCTGGAAACCTCTTGTACCACCCTTAACTGGCTTTTTAATCCCCTTTTTCCCATTCTTCTGCCCTGCTGCTTTGGGCATGCCTGAGTTTCCTCTCCTCACCTGGATCCCTGTGGCTGAGTGCTCCTTTGTCCAGGTTCCTGGCTTTTAATCCCTTTTCTCCCGTTCTACCATCCTGCTGCTTTGGGTGTGCCTGGATACTCTCTCCTCACCTGGACCCCTGCAGCTGACTGCTCCTCTGTCTGGGTTTCTGGCTTTTAATTCCCTTTCTCCCATTTTCCCACCCTACTGCTTTTGGCGTGCCTGAGTTCCCTCTCCTCACCTGGATGCATATGAGGCAACTGAAAATACCATGGCTTGAGTTAGGTGCACCTTAGTCTTCAAAGAGACATCTTTGCTCTTCAGAACTGTAAAGAGGTCTTTTGCAGCAGATTTGCCCAGTGCAATATGTAGTCTGATGTCTTGACTACTGCTTCCATTGGTGTTGATTGTGGAACCGAGTAAAATGAAAGCTTCGACAACTTCAATCTTTTCTCCATTTTTTTGTGATACAGCTTATTGGTCCAGTTGTGAGGATTTTTGTTTTCTCTTTATTGAGGTTTAATCCATATTGCAGACTGTAGTCTTTGATCTTCACCAGTAAGTGCTTCAAGTCATCCTCACTTTCAGCAAGCAAAGTTGTGTCATCTGCATATCACAGGTTCTTAATGAGTCTTCCTCAAATCCTGATTCCATGTTCTTTTTCATATATCCAGCTTCTCAGATTATTTGTTCAGCATATAGATTGAATAAGTATGGTGAAAGGATAGAACCCTGATACACTCCCTTCCTGATTTTAAACCATGCATGCAGTGTTCCTTTGTTCTGTTTGAACAACAGTCTCCTGTCTATGTACAGGTTCCTCATGAGCACAATTAAGTGTTTTGAAATTCCCATTCTTTTCAACATTATCCATAATTTGTCATGATCCACCCAAATGAATGCTTTTGCATAGTCAATAAAACAGAAGAAAACATCTTTCTAGTATTCTTTGCTTTTAGCCAAGATCCATCTATCAGCTATGATATCTCTTGTTCCATGTCCTCTTCTGAATCCAGCTTGCATTTCTGGAAGTTCTCTGTCAATATACTGCTGGAAGTGGTTTTGAATTATCTTCAGTAAGATTTTATTTGCATGTGATATTAATGAATTGTTCAATAATTTCCACATTCTGTGGGATCACCTTTCTTTGGAATGGGTACAAATATGGATCTCTTCCAGTCAGTTGGCCAGGTAGCTATCTCCCAAATTTCTTGGCATAGATGAGTGAGTGCCTCCAGCATGGCATCCATTTGTTGAAACATCTCAATGGGTATTCCATCAATTCCTGCAGCCTTGTTCTTCACCAATTCCTTCAGTGCAGCTTCTACTTCTTCCTTCAATACCATTGGTTCTTGGTCATATGTCACCTCCTGAAATGGATGAATATCTTTGGTACAGTGACTCTGTGTATTCTGTCCATCTTCTTTTGATGTTTTCGGCATCATTCAAAGTTTTGCTCATAGAATATTTCAATATTACAAGTTGAGACTTGAATTTTTTCCTCAGTTCTTTCAGCTTGAGAAATGCCAAGCGTGTTCTTCCTTTTTATCTAACTCCAGGTTTTTGCACATTTCATTAGAATAATTTACTTTGTCTTCTTGAGCTGCTCTTTGAAATCTTCTGTTTAGCTCTTTTATCTTGTTGATTCTTCCATTTGCTTTAGCTATCTGTGTAGCACTGAACAAATGATTTAACCTCTCTAGAAATCAATCTTTCTTGTCTGTAGAACAGGATAGTGCTAATACTTGCTCTGCAGGGTTGTTGTAAGGATCAAAGGACATGATGGATAAAAACATTTGGTAAAACCTAGCACATGTATAGCATTCAATAAATACTAGGTACTACTACCACTTATTATTATTATTGAGCTATCAGCTAAAATCTAGGAGGAATAAAATTATTTTATTTTTATTTTTTTAATGTCCTCCTTTAATAATCATTGACTATCTCCAAATAAATGTATTATTCAATAAAATCTCATTCACCCAGAATGGTTAATAAATTAGGTGTACTATATTTAAATAGAAATTCTGATGAATTGAATATATTCACACAGACACCAAAAATCAAAACCAAATCTACTGCCATACAGTTGATTTGGACTCATAAGAATAAGAGTAGTATAGGGTTTCCAAGACTGTAAACCTTTATGGAAGCAGACTGCCTCATATTTCTCCAGCAGAGCAGATGGTGGGTTCACACTGCAGATCTTTTGGTTAGCAGCCGAGTATCTTAATCACCGCACAACCAGAGCTCCTGAATGATCGTCTCTGGGTACACTCAGAACCACCAACCTTTCAGTTAACAGCCACATGCAGTAACCAACTGCACCACAGACACTTGTATGCTATTATGCAGATAATATCATGTAGATAGCATTACATAATTGGTCAAAAATTCAAAATAGTAAAGTGATCAAACAGTGTGCATGATTGAATATTTACTGGATGACTCTACAAAATGAATTATTAGCTTTTAAGGAACAAGAAGTCAACAAACTCTGCTGAAGGAAATATAACATTTCTTTTATGATAAAGACATTAGTATCTTGTATAGCTTCAGGATCATTTGGCAGGATTGCCATTTATGGTATTTAGTTGTGTTAAGTTGTCTAAGATAAATTCTAGGGAAACAGGAATTTGACATATTGAGCAATAATTTAAAAGTATAATGATTCATTAAAGAGAGATCAACTGCAAAAGGCTTCTTCTTGCTATTCATAATTGAAACAGAAAAGCTTCTAAACAGGACCTGTGCTCTGAGAACACTGTGATTGCAACCTTCTGAGAGTTCAGCACATGTAATATTTTAGTAATATTTTAAAAATATGTGAAATGACATATTTTCAGTCATCAACTGACATTTTAAAAACACTGTGCAGGTCTAGGGCAGTAGACAAAGTTGTTGTGGAAATTCAATAATAGGGGCCTCCTGGATATTCCAAGTCATTATTAGTAAGAAACTAATTTCTACAGTACAGATGTAGAAATTAACATAGATAATGGTCACTACAAGATAGTAATTAAATTGATTTGTATATTGCCAAAAAACAAAGAAAAAAGCCTCATCATCAGTTGCATAAGTTATTAAATACAGCTATTAAAATGATCCACCTGGTGGAAGATGGGAGTTCTTAACTCATTTCTACTTCTTAATGCCAACTTGTTCATTTAGTTAGTATTTCCCAAAATGAGGTCATGCACGATAATAAGTATATAAGAAGTCAGCCTGTTGTGAAATTTCCATACTATATCCTGAATTTAAAATGTCTTGGTACCTTTGAGAGTAGCTAAAGCAAACAAATGATGTTCCACTAAGCCAATATGGGCTACAACCATATCGAACACATCTTTACATATAGTTTTGGTATCACAGGTCAGTTCCAGTCTCTGCCCACTCAGAAGCATTATGTTTACTTTTCTTCGGCTATCGTCATTCTTCCCTTTCTTGGTCTATAATTGAAAGAAATGAATGGCATTTATTAAAATAAATATTATAAGAAGTTTAACTGGTGTTTTGTTTTTTTAAAAAAATCATTAAGGAAATTTTCTGAAAGTGAGAAAATCAGTTTTATTACTTACAAGGATAGACCGTGGCAAATCCAAAGTTATAAATGGCTCAATCGTCATTTTTACAAACTCAGGGCCAAAGAAATTCTGCAAATCACATAAATAGAATCAATAGTTTTTACCATTTATTCTAGATCTTTCTTCAAAAGAAAATAAGGTAATAAAAATAAATTTCACATAAAGCCACCAGGTCAAATGAATTGAAACCAATGTTGAAATAAGCACACTGGATTTTTACAAAAAACAGCAATGGATTGTGGCTTAGATTAAGTTTGAGCAGAACGTAGTTTCATTTTCTACCAGTGATATGAAATGTAATGTTTTGCTTTATACTGTTTTATAGGTTTTCATTTAAAAAAAGGGGGAAAAAAATGGTTGTTTACATTATTGAAGTAACATAAAAACCAAACCAAACTCACTGCTGTCAAGAGAATCCAATTCATAGCAACCCCTCCTTGGGTTTCCGAGGCAGTATCACTATGGAAGTAGATTGCCCAACCTTTGTTCCAAGGAGTGGCTGGTGGGTTTGAACTGCCAGCCTTCTATTTAGCAGTCAAATGCCTTAGGCCCTATGCCACCAGAGCTCCCACTGAAGTAACATAGGGTTATCAAACTCTTATAAAGATTTGGTTTGATAACGCTAACTGTGTGAAGTGGTTAAAGGGAATCTCATTGTTTTAGAGTATGCTATCCAACTTCTTTCCACCACTCCTCTGTCAGTATGTCATACAGTACTAGCTTGTGTGTTGCTGTGAGGCTGGAGGCTATGCCACTGGTATTTCAAATACCATCAGAGTCATCCATGGTGGACAAGTTTCAGTGGAGCTTCCAGATTAAGACAGACTGGGGAGAAGGACAAGGCCATCCAATTTTGAAAAAGTTGACAGCTGAAAACCCTATAAACAGTAGTGAAATACTTTCTGATGTATTACTGGAAAACTTTATGAATAGTCATGAAACATGATATAGCACTAGAGGATGAGTCCCTCAGTTTGGAAGGCACTCAACATACAACTGGCAAAGAGCTGCCTCCCCAAAGTACAGTTGACCTTAATGATGTGGAAGGAGTAAAGCTTTCAAGATCTTCATTTGCTGATGGGGCAACTCAAAATGAGAAGAAACAGCTGCAAACATCCATTAATAATCAGAATGTGGAATGTATGAAGTATCAATATAGGAAAATTGGAAATTTTTGCCATTTATTCTAGGTGTTGCTTCAAAAGAAAATAAAGTAATAATAATAACCTTCACATAAAGCTACTAGATCAAATGATCTGAAACAAATGTTGAAATATTTGACAATTAAGTACAGTGGATTTTACAAAGAACAAGAATTGATTGTGTCTTATATCAAGTTTGAGCAGAACTTAGTTTCATTTTCTTCTACCAGTGATGTGAAATATAATGGCTTGCTTTA